GTTTCAATCGAGCAGGCCGGCTCGAAAGGGAAGTTGCTGTTGATGCAACTTGTGTCACACAAAATTAAAGAAGGCGAAGATTTGAGAAAGCATCTCGATGTTTTTGTGGATACCGTGGATAAATTACGAGAGATCTGGATACAGGTCGATAATGATTTGGTGAAATTTTTGATGCTGTGGAGTATGCCGATATCGTTCGATTCTTTTCGTCGATCGATGACAACCAGAGATGAAATACTGTCGCCAGAGGTAGTGAAGATCAAGATTCAAGAGGATTACGAATCGAAGAAGTACGTGGCAGCTGAGGAGAATACACAGGATGTGCTTTTTGCCCGAGGCGCGAAGAGTTTTCCGGGAAAACAGAGGAGGATAGGAGTTCACCAACAGAGTTTTCGGCGTTCGCAGTCGCAGAATCAATTACCAGGTGTGTCAAATACAGTTAATGGTTGTTTTAAGTGTGGAAATCCTGGCCACATAGCTCGTTTTTGTTTTTCCAGGTTTCCACAGTCACAGTCGGCCCAATAGTCACATCATTTAGCGCAGTCACACAATCTTTCAGAAACAGGTAGTCAAGCGGTTTTTGCTGAAGAAATTGCATTCCACACTTTTCCCGACGGCGTGAGAAGTCGCTGGTGCCTGGACAGTGGGTGTACGTCTCATATGGTGGCGTCTAAAGATGTTTTTGACACCTATTCTGTGATAAACAAGCCTTTAAATCTGGCCAACAATGACACAACGAGTATAAACGGAGTGAGAGAAGTCAGAATGGTCGTGAGTAACGGAAATAACGACCAGAGGATCAAATTACAAAAAGTCTATCACGTCAAGGATTTACGGACTAATTTACTATCGGTTTCAAAAATTACCGACAGAGATTGTGAACTCATTTTTCGCAAAGGAGAGGCAGTGGTTAGAGATGAAAGCGGAAGGTCACTCGTCGTAGCGGAGAAAAGAGGAAATTTGTATTTCGTCAAAGAGGGAGCAGAGACTGTTGGTGCGGCCGATGTGACTGGAGCGTGGAAACCTGAGGGGTTGTTGGAATTATGACACTATCGACTTGGACATCTGAACGTGGGAGACATGAAGAAGATGTCGAGAGAAAATATCGTTCATGGATTGAACTTTAATCTTGGAAAAGTGATGAAGAGTTGCGAAGTCTGCGTTCGTGAAAAATTAACACTTCTACCGTTTGCGCCGACTGAAGATTTTCGCACGAGAGATGTTTTGGAGGTCGTGCATACGGACGTTTCCGGACCCATGAGATGTGCATTTATTTCCGGAGCGCGATATTTTGTGGTCTACGTGGATGACAAATCCAGATGGGTCACCGTGGATTTTTTGAAGGAGAAGTCGGACATATTCGAGAGCTTCAAGAAATGGAAAGCGAGAGTGGAGACTGAGACTGGCAAGATGATCAAATTTCTCCAGTCGGACAACGGCAGAGAGCTTTGCAATCGTGTTTTCGACGAGTTTCTGGAGGAACATGGCATTCAACGGCGTTTGACGGCGCCGCGGACACCAGAAATGGCATTGCCGAGCGGATGAATCGTACGCTCGTCGAGATGGCGCGTTGTCTATTGCGCCACGGGAGGATGTCGCCGAGGTTTTGGGCCGAAGCTGTTAATACTGTAGCTTACATCAGGAATCGCTGCGTGAGCAGATCGCTGAAGGGTGCGACTCCTCATAGTATCCGGAAGAAGAAGAAGCTGACGCTCGTAAATTTCAAAATTTTTGGCTGCAGGGCGTTCGTGCTGGACAAGTCGCAGAAAGGAAAATTCGATTCTCATGCCGAAGAGTGTATTTTCGTCAGTAATTCGACGGCGTCGAAAGCGTATCGTCTCTGGAATCCAGAGAGTCGGAGGTTGATCTTCAGTCGTGATGTCAAATTCATGGATTCGTTTTATTTCTCAGATGAGTTCGAGGATTTTTGTGACGAGAAGGAAGAGGACGTCGACAGTTTACCAGGAGATACATCGATGGTGGAGGTCACGACAGATTTGAGGCTGAGGAGGAGCCCAGTGAGAAGAACTGTGAATTTTCGACGCAGAGTTGCGAGTATCCCGCCTCGTCGTAAACCAGGCAGGCCGTGGCTTCATCGTACTGGTTCCGTGAGAAGACCCAGGAAAATCTATTCACATTATGATGACGCTGAAGAAGGAACCGAAGATCTTGAGGTTCCATGTGATATCGTCGATGACGTTTTCGACGATGGTTCAGCAGCACCGTTGACGGAAGCTGATGTTGGTGAATTCGTCCATTATTCTGTTTTATCGGAACCTGAGAACTGGGAAGAAGCCTTCGGAAACTACTGCAGTCGGTCGGCCTGCAGTGCGACAGGATTACATTCTGAAAAGATTCTCAGAGTGCCCAGAGTTGGATCAAGAGCTCCACGACACACTCCAGATCCAAGCATATGGACGTTCGGCATAACATAGACCAGATGGCTGCCGACGTGCTCATCAAAGGACTGACACATGCGTGTCATCTAAACTATCTATCTTTATTGGGAATTGAAATTTTATAATTGAGTTGTATGTTGCAGAAGATCGTAATTCACCAGTCTGCTTTGAAGAGGAGTTGTTGAGAAGAGGTATCAAAGGCAGCCTGCATACCGGCCGAGATGTTTTTATCGACGCCTGATACATCGTCGATTTTAATGGCGGACATATAAACACATGTAAATTTATTGCTCAAATGTATCGTATTTTATTGTTGCAATTTTTAATATATTTATTGTTAAACAAAGTGATTGTTTTTACTCGAATTGTTCCCCGAACTTACAACAGCTTTTGAGTTGATTGGAGTTATTTTTGTCGACTTTTCCGGTTTGGCAATTCCGGGTAAAAATTATCTGGCGCCCATGATATTTGAGTTTTTGAGTTTAATTAGATTTCGGGAAAGTGGGGCGAAGGTAACAGGCATTTTTAGCCCCGATGCGACAATGTTATGTTACAAATTATAAACTTACTGACGAAATGATAAATTTTCATTTTTTTTCTTTCGTTCTCTTGCAAGACTGGCACTGTACTGTGATATCCGTCGAAAATTCAATTATTTAAAAAATTTTAGGAATTTCCAAAACAAATATTATTTCAACTTGGGAAAACCGTTGAAACTTAAAATTTCCTCTAGCGTGGGATTTATTATTTCAAAAGCCCCAAGGGCCAGCTGCGTATCGTAAATTATCGGAAAACATTATCGAAAGTAAATGTTCGTCGAAAATACGGTCATAAACTTGTAGACTTGGGTTCGGCTCTTGTCGCGCTAAATGCACTTCAAGCGCATGCCCCAGTCTATCTCTCTTTTTTCTATTGTTTAACTAGCATGTTAGTGACGCATCCGGTCGCCAAATGCGTTTATAGGACTTGAGAATTTTCACTTATCGTAGCGTGGGGTCTTTTTTCTCTCTAGGTTCAAAACCTCATAGAATCGAAATTTGAGTTTCCGTCCCTCTAAAATTTTATGAGGGGTTCGCTTGAGTTTCTTTTCATAACAGGAAGTAATAAATCTTTTTGACAATTTTCTAGTGTTTTAACATAATATTCTTTAAAATTGACAATTTTTGTCCCATTCATTCAGGATTTTTTTGACAATTATTTTGATGTAAAAATCTTTTCGCTACGATAATTCAAACCCATAGTTTTGAATTATTTCAACTCAAAAAGATGTATCATTTTTAATTTAAAACAATTTGTTCGGTTTTCCACCGAATTGTTTTCCGCACACACGCACACTCACGCACACTCGCTCCTCTCGCATGCTTGCATGGCTTCTCAGGACTGACCTGCGCAACCGACTGAACTGACCAGTGGCCTCTCACATCTGACACCTGAGGCGCCACTTGATGGACAAGTGTCCAGCGAACACCCCCATTTAAATTGGGGCACGTTTGGAACCACGATGATCGACACCTGCCACCTTGCGGTCTTTCAATCGGCCTCATTAGCATATCGGCCATCGCACAGTGTGTATCACTTTTCCGCGAAGTCACTATTTTGCTCAAGTTCTTAGAACTAATTGCCCTGCGCTATCTAAATTCTGTGAACTGCGGTTATTCAATAATTTTGTGACCCGCGCATTTGTTTGACCATCTCGTTAATTATAGTTAAAGTTAGCACGTGTAAATATTTGACTTTTATAATTAAATTGACTGTTGTGACCAACGTGCACGTGTTGTGTTTTCTGGACCTTCTCGCGCTCCCGTAGAAATCCATCGTTTTTTTGGCCATCGCTCAAAAATATTTCCCAAACCAGATCCGAGCTCAGACATTTTGGTCCTTCGAGCCGGATCGGTGGAATATTTTTCGGTTTTTTGTGTGTTTTTTCGCGGCATCCGTGTTTTTCGCGGGAGTACGGGGACGCCAGTGCAGTGCCGTAACACCTGATCGGAGGGCCCCGCACCAGTGGTCCTACTTACCAGGGACGTGTCGATCCCGTTCATCGCCCCACCCCTGGGTACATCGTCTTCAGGGCCGTATCTCCAGCACTGAAGGCCCGTTTCAGAATTTCCGCTCATCAGGACCGTATCAGCGTTACTCCAGGCCTACTCCAGGAATTATTGACTACCTTTGGGTATCTTGGACCATCGGAAAGCCCTAACGACCTACCTCAGGGTATTACGGACCTGCGCTGAAGGAGGTGGATTATCGTGCAGCTCGCTCAAAAAGGGAAGTCAAATTAATTACAATTTCTTGCGCTTCTCTCGGATTTTGCTGTTTTTACCTCAAGTTCGGCTGCATGTGATTTATTTTTTTTTCTCGATTTATTTACGCTTATTATTAACGCTTTTTGAATCTGCGCTGGAGTTCTGGGCTACGCTTTGTTTTCCGCATATTGCTTTTTCTTGCTTTTTGACCTGCGTCCTTGGCTCTTTGTTTATTTTTGAACATCTCTCCTGGCACGTTCGCTTATTGTTTCTTTTTTAGTTTTTCGCAGCAGTTGATCGAGGTTGTGGTTTTTCTTGTTGGTTTTCTTTCTCTTTTTGTTGACAATTCCACAAGATGGCAACTCTCGAAGCGCTGATCTCGCTGCAGATGACACGTGCATCCTTCATCGAAGGCATTTACACGGAGTCACAGGAGGAGAGCATCCAGCAGTTCGGAGTGACGGCTCTGGATTCTAAGCTCGTCATGCTGGAAACGTATTGGGTGAAGTTGGAAGCGTCTCATGAGAAACTCGTCGGCCAGAAGATCGAGAATTTGACCTCTCTCGATTATTTTAAGAATCAGGTCTTCGATGTCGCGCTTAAGCATTACGCTTCAGGTAGAGTAGCGCTGCTGCAGCTGTTGGAGAAGAAGGGGGCTCCTAACCTCAACCAATCGGTTCGTGTTCCTAGCGACGCGCAACTACTGAGTTCCACGCGCAGAGCTCTTCCGGAGATTGAGTTTCCGAAGTTCTCTGGAGTGTCTAAGGAGTGGAGGCCATGGAGAGACCTTTTCCATTCGCTGGTCGGGAATAATCTGGAGATTCCTGGGGTCGAGCGAATGCACTACCTCCGTCTCTGTCTCTCCAATAAGCCTTTGAAGCTAATCTCTAATTTGCCCGTCTCTGAAGATTCCTTTGGCATCGCATGGAGAATCTTGGTCGATCGATACGAGAACAAGCGCTTATTGATTACAGCTCACCTTGACCAGCTTCTCAATCCTGCTCCGATGAAGACGCACGGTGCCTCAGACCTTAATTTATTGACGAGCTCCGTTTCTGAGGCACTCAGCGCGCTCAAAGCACTGGATCAGCCAACAGATCATTGGGGTCCAATCGTCGTTCACGTGCTCACTCGTCGCTTGTCCAACAAGCTTCGTGAGGCATGGGAAAATAAAATTGGAGCATCGACTGAGTATCCGACGCATGAACATCTCCTCGATTTCCTACAAGGTCGTTCACGAGCCATGGATACCTTGGAGGTTGGGTCTTCGGTGCACACATCGAACGACGCCTCTCGTCCTTCGCAGCTGAGCGTCCAGACTCGTTCGATGACCAACAGTAGTGCCAAGGTCAACCAAGCCTCGGTGTCTTCGCATGCGCAGCAGTCAGCCCAGAAATCTCCCAGTCCAGCGCAAATACAGTCCACAAAGTCGACGTCCTGGGCCAACGCGGGCTATCCTTGTTCCTACTGCAAGATGGATCACTACATTGCTTCTTGCAGCGGGTTCAAGTCGCTTACTCCTACAGCAAGGAAGGAGGTTGTCGAACGACTCTACCTGTGCTACAACTGTCTGGGGAAGCACAGTATCAGAGTCTGCCAGACCACTCGAACGTGCAGGACATGCCAGGAGAGGCACCATTCCCTGCTGCATTTTGATCGCGCTCGTCGTCCAGCTCAACGTGGTCCAGCATCTCAAGTCCCTCGCAACGATGCAGGAGCTCAGCGCCCGAGTGCTTCTGCTCCATCGACCAACGTGCCTGTCGTGACGTACACTCACACCGGTGATGCTGCTCAGGCTGCGTCTTCAGCCCATTCTCAGGCCTGAAGCGGACCGTCCCAAGCGTCGATTCCTTGTTCGGCCCATAGTTGTTCTGCGCAAACCTGGAGGCAAATGGGAAGCCGCGGTAAAGTCGGTGAAGTTCCATCTCAAATGAACGATCGGCGATTCCCTTTTGACCTACGAGGAACTCACTACTTTACTCGCGCATATCGACGCCGTGCTCAATTCGCGACCACTGGAACCGCTATCAGAGGATTCTGATGACGTCAGCGCACTCACACCAGGTCATTTCCTGATTGGCCAGGCCTTGACCTCCGTTCCTGACCCTTCGCTGGAACATTTGAACGTCGCTCGCCTATCTCGTTGGCAGCTTATCCAGCAGAAGGTTCAGTACTTCTGGAAGCAGTGGTCTACTAGCTACCTTCAACATCTACAGTCCATCTCGAAGTGGCACCACCCATCTCACGACATTGGAATTGGTTCCATAGTCCTTCTCACCGACGAGAAGTTTCCACCAACGAAATGGCTTCTCGCTCGAATCATCGCTCTCTACCCTGGTAGAGATGGACTCGCCAGGGTGGTCACCATTAAGACGTCCAGTTCTACTCTGCAACGGCCCATCTCGAAGCTCGCTCTACGGCCAATCTCGACCAGCGACACTTAAGATCATCTCGACCAGCGATATCTAGGATCATCTCACGTGATGACAGCTCTGCATCATCGGGTTCATCATAGTCCATATTCGGATTGGGTCATGGTGAGGATTTACGACCCTCTCTGTGGCAACTGGCCCGGAGTGGAGGTGAGTCTGCCGGGGTCTGCCGGAATTTACGCCTCCTACGTCCTCGGCTGTACTCACACCTGACCGTCACTGGTAAACTACGATGGTGATATTGATCTTCGATAAATCTTGTCCTGAGCTCGATTAATCTCTTTTTGTTTCAGACCAACTCAGTCACGTCAGCAGCTGCTGACGACGGGGGAGAATGTTCGGTTTTTCACCGAATTGTTTTCCGCACACACGCACACTCGCTCCTCTCGCATGCTTGCATGGCTTCTCAGGACTGACCTGCGCAACCGACTGAACTGACCAGTGGCCTCTCACCTCTGACACCTGAGGCGCCACTTGATGGACAGGTGTCCAGCGAACGCCCCCATTTAAATTGGGGCACGTTTGGACCCACGATGATCGACACCTGCCACCTTGCGGTCTTTCAATCGGCCTCATTAGCATATCGGCCGTCGTACAGTGTGTATCACTTTTCCGCGAAGTCGCTATTTTGCTCAAATTCTTAGAACTAATTGCCCTGCGCTATCTAAATTCTGTGAACTGCGGTTATTTAATAATTTTGTGACCCGCGCATTTGTTTGACCATCTCGTTAATTATAGTTAAAGCTAGCACGTGTAAATATTTGACTTTTATAATTAAATTGACTGTTGTGACCAACGTGCACGTGTTGTGTTTTCTGGACCTTCTTGCGCTCCCGTAGAAATCCATCGTTTTTTTGGCCATCGCTCAAAAATATTTCCCAAACCAGATTCGAGCTCAGACACAATTATATTCCTTTTACGAATTGAACTCATTCAGTTATTTTTTCTAATTTATTTTATTCTATTTAACAATTTATGGAAATTCATTTTGGTTTCTTTTGAAACTATGTTCGGTTTTCTCAAGTAAACTCATTCAACGTTTCTTCTCCATAATCATTTCTTTTCGATTCAATTCAAATCTTTATGAATTTCATGGATGAAAATTCATGGATTTCAAGTTCATTTTTCCTTTATCTGAACAATGAAAATTCAATTTATTAGTTTGAAATAAATATTCAATTTAAACAAATTCTTTCGTTGAATCGTTTGATTATTGAGTCTGAATTGAGAAATTCAAACTCAAATAATTCATTTCCATAATACAAGAGAACGCCGTAATAGAGTTTTAATTATTAGATCGAATATGTTGTTTCATACATTTTATATAAATTTAAAAAACCATTTAAAATATTGTATATTACTTCAACAATTGTTTGCGATTTAGTTTTGAATAATAATTTCAATTATTTAATAAATATTAAAATATTTATTAAATATTTAGTAAGAAGTTGAATATTGTGGAGGGAGAAAATGGGACCTCCCGAAACAATTCTCATTGGTAATTGGGGGTTGGAAAAGTTCGCCCACACTCCCAACGTCTTGATGTGGAGGGGGCGGAGTTAGCCCTGAAACATTGGGACTGGTGTACAAGGTGTGAAGATTCGGGCCCGAGGTCATCGACCATTGGTCCCCGAATTTTCCCTCCTTGTATCTGAGGACATCCCCTCAGGCTGAGGTAACACAACCGTCGTTTTGCTCCTCAGCTCCACCGTAATAATCAAACTTTTACTTTTATTCCTTCGTGACTATTTTTAAACCCAGTTTTTTCGTGACTGGTTTCTTCGATTTTATATTGAAGTCTTTCGTGGCTTTTATTGGTTAATTGTTTACTCAATAAGTATAATTCGATTTACTTGTATGGAGTCAAATCAGAGTGTAAAAATCACATCATATTGGGCAATCTAGTGCGGCAAATTTGTGACTATTTACCAATTTGAATTAGCAGAGAAGCAACTTCTTGTAAGTCTTTACACTATTTTTCAGTGAGTTTAAAATATAGACTCTTCGGAGTCGGTTTAAACTTAATTTTGAGTTTGTATTTATTTCATTTTTTTTCCTCCAGTGCCTTCTTTCCAAAATTTATAGTGGGGATTCATTTTGTTTCAAAGGGGTTTCTAGTTTGTTTCTATCTAGAAAATTCTCGAATAGACCCTTTCGGTCATTTTGCCATAAGTTATGTCAACTTTTCTTCACATTTTGACGTAACAGTACTATTTTTCCAACCAAATAATTGTTTTCTGCAGAATTGACATTCAACAACGAATGGCCCCTTTCCCACACCATTTTGAGGATTATGGCATCAGATAAATTTCAGCAGTAACATACCAAGCAACTGACCCACCTCTTCAATACGCATGCGCAGTGTGGTCATATTTAGTATCCTTTAAGATATTCGGTGGCACTGGCATATTTTCTTTTTTGCTTACTTTCCGTATGGTGGAGGTACGGGAATAGTCCATCTGTAGCGCCTCGTTACATACTACTTGAGGGACAACTGTCGCACAGCCCTTACACACACACTCAGAGGACACACGCGTATCTCTGAAGTTCGGAAGTCACGGCTACACGAATTTAGTCCGCCAGAGACTATCTGAACTTCAGAAGAAAAAAAATTTAATTTCAACTTAAATTCGATTACCGACAATGATGTTACCATTGTGATTTAACGCTGTTTGAAATTGGTCGATATTCCCGGGCCACTAGGCCCAGTTCAGCTCGGGATAATATTTGCTCGGTGGCAGCAACTGACGGGACGACTCACCGTTACCGACCGAGCCCACACATCTCCGCACTTAACACCTCATGCTCACTATCGTTCCGGGAGTGCTAGCGTACACCACGTGTATATTTCATCGTTCGGTTACGTAATCTATTGTCCGCTCAATTGTTTTATCAATTATAGTTCGGCTCAATATTATTATTTCCGTTGTGCTCAGCTCAATATTCAATCTAATTATTGTACTTTATTTTGACGCTGTGAAAACATTTACTAGTGACTATATATTGGGTTTCGTGAAAACCACGTGCGTGTAGTGATTTATTGGACCCGCTGACCCACTCCCGAAAATCCATTATTATTTTATCCAGCCATCGCATATTCCACCAATTCCGAACCTCTCATCAAACAAACGCGAAGTGTGAAACTTCGTGATTTTTTGCGAAGAACGCCGTCATTTGGAAACGACCCATACGATTATGGTTTTTACTATCTCCCCTCCTTCAGGCAAGTCTAAACTACATTTTTTCCCAGCAGGGGAAACATATAGCGCCTCGCTACATACTCCCTGAAGGACGACTATCGCACAGCCCTCACACACACACACACACACACACACACACACACACACACACACACACACACACACACACACACACACACACACACTCAGAGGATACACGCGTACCTCTGATGTTCGGAAGTCACGGCCACCCGAGTTTAGCCGTCCCTCAGGTAGTATTTAACGAGTTGTTACATATCCAGTTATATAGAGATCAGTGAGATGCCCTCAGCCTAATGTTCTGTAAGTCGGATTCAAAACTTTTTCTTGGCCGATCCGCTGCCGCGTATCTCGATACGCAATTTCTGCACTTCATTGGGAATTATCATACCTAATTTGGAGTTTAGAAATCATATATCTGAATGAATGATGAATGATTAATTTCGGCCAGACAATCGGTGGTCACTCTGCTTAGCTATTGTCGGCAATATCGTCAACTCAGCATCAGTATCTTCGATCCGCATTGGGGAGTATTCAGTAATTCTTGTGAAAAATATGAACTATTTATTTGCTGAATATACTAGCTGAATATGATGGAAGTGTAAATGGTGAAGTAAGGATGGGTACACTCTTAAAAAAAGTTACTACTCACCAGTACTGAATTCTACTTGGGAGAAGTTTTCTTGTGAAAAGTTGGGAAACTACTTGTCCCAAGTACTTTTCATGTCCTTGGGTAAAGTACAATATTTGCTAAGCAAGTAGGAGAAGTACTAGGAGGAAGTACTTTTATTACTTCCTGTCAGCATTTTTCTTACTTCTCACACGTACTTTTAATGCTTGGAGCAAGTAATTTTTCTACTTCTCGCGAGTACTTTTATGACTTGATTCCAGTACTTTTGGTTGGTTATTTTGTTGGGGAATTTCATATCATTAATTATCATTCTCATTATCGTTCTCATTATCATTATCATTATCATTCTCAGATGACAATGACCAAATTTCATCGAGGGGAGGTTACGATGAGTTTAAAAATCGCGAGATATTGCAGTAAGATTTATCACACATTGATGATTGATTATTTATATATGTTGAAAGACGAAGAATAAGTGGGAAAAAAAACGATTATTTATTGTTTATTTGCCCCCAAGACCTTGAAAATGAAGAAAAATAGCACA